CCTACAAAAGAAATTCTAGACCAATAGAAAAATCAGTAACCAAAAACGAAAATAGCAAAGCTTGATCTCAAGATCTCTACAAATCCTACTGAACAAAGCTTTCCCCTAATGGCAACGGCGCCAAATTGATACAAGACTTTTTGAGACTTGATTCAATTACCCAAGCTTGTACTAATCAGTTGTAGTATAGCATAGGGTTTTATCAATTCAAAAGGGGAGAATGAAGCAGTAAGAATGCAATAGAGATCCTAATTCAAGCAGATATAAAAGGGGTTTAGAGCTTCTAGCAACCTAAGTGATCAAGAAAAAACCAAACAACACAAATAAGGAAGTAGGCAAGCAAACAACCAAAGTAGAAGTAAAAACAGAGCAAATTCAGAACAGAGCTTAAAACAGAGAAAAGATGGGACTTGAGATGAGATAATTGGTGATAGGGAACTCTTGACTCTACTTATGATGCTTACAAACTCACACAATGCTATTCATTATGCATATGATTCATTTATATGACTAATCCAATCTCTTGGCACTAATCTCTTTGCTAATTACTAAGTCAAGAACTAATTCTCATTAGTGAAATGATAAGGAGCAAGCATTAAAACAAATCTATCAACCCTATATTGCGAAATCACTCCCTAGACAGTCAATCTCTTGAGCTAGGATAAGCAATTCTCTTGCAAAGCAGTTCAGACATTTCATCAAACACTTGGTGGGCATAAAATGAGCCTAAAATCTTAATCAACTTAGCTAAGGCTAATTAAGCATTAAACACAGCAATCAAGAAAGGAAATAAAAGAATTAACACTAAGCAATCATAGATAAAGTCTTAAATTCCCTAAACCTAACCCCTCTCAAATCCCTAAAAAGAACTACACACTAATCACCATTAAAGCCACTAAATCAAAGAGAGAAAGATGACTAATCATGATTAGAAAGCTTAAACAAGATGAAAGATGCAAAATTTTATTGAAATGAAGCAAAGATTCAAATTACAAAATCCAAGGGTCCAAAATAGAAAGAAAGAACTGCTGGGTAAAAGCTTGTTCCCAGAAATTAGGGATTTTTCGTATTTATAGGAGTCCAAGCAAAAATGGCAAAGTTGTAAATAGAAGGTCTTCGGTCTGGCAGCGTATCGGTCAGTTGTGTCGATCTCCAGTGACCGAAATGGGTCCCTATCGGTCTTCAGTGATCGATACACATGACCGAAATTAATCCGGTGTGTTTGTGTCGATCACACATGACCGATACTGGTGACCGATATGCTCCGTATCGGTCACCCTTGACCAAAACTCTCTGTGTTCTGACCAAAAACTTCTGCAGAGATCTTCTGCTGTGATCCTTCTTGCTCCCTTTTGCCCAGCTAGCATCTTGCATCATTCCCAAAACTCGTCCAAGCTCCCTTAAGCTCCAAAAGCACCTAAAAACATCTAAAATGCAAAGAAAATGCAAACTATACTCTAAATGCAACCTAAGTCTAAAAGGAGAAGAAAATAGGACAAAAAGAAAGGGAAAACATGCAAAAGAGGATCAAGATATGTACTAAATGCAGCCCTAAATGGTGTAAATACAAGGGATATCAGAGACGCGAGGCGATGCTCAACGAGTTGACTAGTGTTGTTAGGGCTTCAAATTTGTGTCAGCTTGTGTTCCACGACTCCACCATAAAGTACAAATTTTTATTTTATGTTTTAAAACAGTTCAAAACCGATGTTCATACTCGTCGGAAAGCCAAAATCGTTTGAAAATCCGAATCTGCATTACATTCGTTTAATTTTCCTTAGCTTAATTCGAATCTGAAATTTGTTGTGTGACAATTTAAGTTTTTTGGGATTTCAATACCCTGTTTTACTGTGTACTTGCAGTAGTTTTATTTAGGTGCAATTTTGAGCATATCATCTAGTGGCTAGGGACACACTTGCAGTTCCAAGGGAGGCGCCACCGGAATTGAGAGGAGGCAAATATCCGATCTGTAGAACACGACATACCAGCCGGACTGATCAGGAAAACTTCACGTTGTTCAACTATCACGACCGAAGAGGATGAGCAAGAAGGCCGGTGAGAACACCAGCAAACTGAACCAAAAATGGGCGGACATAGACGCAGATTAGGAGAGGATGGAAGATGGGCGGCTCTAACTATCCATCATGACCAAAATCAAACCGTAACCGTATTTCGGATCGTAACTGTAAAAATATATTAGTTAAGGTTAAAAGAAATTGTTAACTGTAACCGTTAATTAACCATAACCGGATCTAAACCGTTAGTTAACCATATAGTAAAAACCTTAACCGTAACCATTTAACTATACTTATATATAATTTTTCTATAATTAATATTTGACAACAATAATTATATATAATAAATAAGAAATAAAACAGAAATCATGCCATCATGTGACGTAAAATGTGGAATACAAGTTTGCAAGTGCAACGAAATCAAACACTCAGACTATTAAGTCTCTAACTAATTTAGGCAGAATATATTATATTAGATATCATTTAATTAGGATTCAAAATTTTAATGATTTTAAAATGAACTAGTTGTTAGCCCGCGCAATGGCGCGAGCATATGGATGATGTATTTTTCTATTTATCGAAATTGTTTGACATAAATTTAAAAAGTAAAAAAAAAATATTTATAAAAACATATGGTAAAATAGCATTCAGATAAAAATATACATAAATATTTTGATATCAGAAAACAAAACATACATTCCAGCAAGTTATAATATGCAACACGCAAGACCAATAACATTTTCAAAATAAACGGAGTGATCGTAATCTCTTTCATAAGACTTGCATTAAATGATAAAGTTTATTGATCTCTCGAACCACACTTCGCTGTCAAAACTTCTTCGTCATATCGTTACTTACAATTAGATCCACAATATGATTAAAGTTACGATAGCTAATATAAAGATTCATCTTGTATATAGTAATATTACCTATCACGAAAATGATGAAGACAAAGACATGTCACTGTTTTTAACCATGTAAAGAAATTGCACATATAAATTTAATGAAAAGAATGAAGTAATGGATATTTTAAAAAGTTAAGCTGACTTAAGAAAATCTCTTTAAATCATTTTATGTAAACTACATACATGTTAAAAATAGATTGTTGCTGCATGATTATTACTTTGCTTTCTCCTAAGCCCCTTCATTACCACATCATCATTGTCCCTTGCTGCTACAGAAGAAACCTTAATCGTCACTTGTGCCTTTGTAAAGTTCATACGTCTCTCTCCACAGTCACGTCCTGCTCCTCATTTTACATATCGTTGATCAACTCAGTTGAGGAGATTTTAGGCACCATTTTTGCAACCGGCTCTGATTCGCAGAAGCAGATCGATAAATTAGCTGATCTTATGTTGAGACTACAAAAAGTTAAAAACCATAAACCAATACAAAGAAACACACGAAGACTAAAAATCTTTCTAAAATACCGCAGACTCTTTACAAATAAGAAAAAAAACAAATCAACATAGAAATATAATATGCAAAAAAGCTCAAAAATACAATGTATGTACATACCAGCCAATTTGATGAGATGATTTTTCGAAAACCCTACAATAGAAATAAAAAGAATTAAAGCAAAAAAAAATTATAATAGGTTTGTTAAATACTACACAATAAAAAAATACAAATAAACAAATTACGTAAACTGCACTTTATTAAAGACAACACGATATGGATCGTTGCTCTTATAATACACAAAACATCAGACACCTAACGTAACATTATTAACAAAGAAATTCCATAAACAGGGCTCATGGGAGGGCTGTTACCCGGTGTGATGTATATCTCTCAGACTGCAAAACAAAGACCAAAATCAGAATGAGGTTTAAATAACAAAGGGTTTCAGAAAGAGTACCAACCCTTGTGTGTGGCGGGCTTCAGGATGAATGAAATGAGCTCGAAGGAGCGCTCCTCCGTGATGTTACATGCCCCTCTGCCTTATACCTTTTTCGGTTGTAGTCTATCCCTCGATCATTCTGCAAATACAAACCAATTTTTAGGCTATGAATAAAAAGAATGTAAAACATATAGAAATTAGAATCATAGTACCGTGCTGTTGTAGGGAGCTGGGGAGCGGCTTCTGGATGGTGTGAAAATGGCTCACATTGGCCTTTGCCTGATATATTCTCTCGTACATAGACCTCATACGGAGGTTAGGCTGCAATCACAGTCCATACTTAATTTGTTCCTGATAAATCCGAATCAGCAGAATGCAAAAATAAAATAAAAAAATAACGTAGAAATGAGAGAGTACCATGCAGATTATGGCAGATTTTAAGGGGCTCGCAGAAGCTTGCTTCTTGGGGCCACTTATGACCCCGATGCCATCTTTACCATGCTCGCTAGGACGCTCGGACTGGAGTTTGGAACCAAGGATAAAAAAACATGAACAGTGAAAGAAAACAATAAAAATTTAAATGGGAAAAAGACAGAATCGTATTATATCTGTAGATCGAAGGGCGATGGTGGACATTGCGGACACATTCATGCGGACACATTCAGAGGCTTGCTGTTGTTTCCAGTGAGTGGTATGGTCAGAAACGCTGTATTAGAGTTCATAATGGATCTCTCTCCCTCTTTCTTCTTGTTTTATTTTTCGTGTCATTGTGCCATGATATTTGATGCACTATCCGTTTGATGATGATTAAATGCTCTTGGATTTTCCCAGCAAAAATACCACTTTATTATTCTTCTGAAATTGGTTTACTAATTTTACAAAAAGAAAATTGGTTTTAAAAAATAGGTAATTTGTATTACCTCCTTTTAAGCAAAGCATCGAAGCGTTGTGAGGAAGAGAGAGAGAGAGAGTGAGGAGTCATGTACCAAAGGCATTTTCAATTGTTAGTGTTGATTATCATCTCAAAGTAGAATGTGAGGATAGTTTCTGTCTATTGGGTTTCTAAATCCAACAACTTGTTGATGGAGCTGTTTTTGATCAGAAAGTTGCAAAATTTGAGTGCTCTCAGTGTGAAACTCTCGTTCATGGTGTTTACTACTTTACCTATCTACATTCTTTGTTCATTGAGTTTGATTAAAGGTAAGCTTGAAGAACAGGTGAAGAAGCTTTTGATTGAAATGGTGGAGAACACTCTAGACTTTGTGAAAGATCCTGTCAATGTTCTGGAGGATGATAAACCCGAGAATGACTGTGGAGTTCGGTTATTTAAACGTTGTTCAACTGGAATCATCTTTGATCATGTAGGTTAGTAGTCATCATCTCTCTCTGTCTCTCTTTAAGATTCAATATCTGAATTTTGATTGTGAATTTGTTACATCAATAAAATTGTTTTCTTGGTAACCAGATGAGCTTGAAGGACCCAAAAAGAAGCCTAATTTACGCCCTAATAGAGGAGTTGAAGGAAGCTCTAAAGAGGTTATTAAGCCTTTTTATCGGTTAAGCATTGTTCTGCTTTTTCGTAGATCATCATGAATCTCTCGAAGCTAACTTTTTTTTTCTTATGGTTACTGCAGTTTAAGAAACGGATAAAATCAATCGCTGTTGATGGCTCCGATGTTTTATCTGCTGCAATAGAAGCGGCTAAGAAAGCCTCAGCGAGAGTGGAGGCGAAAGAAGCGGCCGCAAAAGCTAAAGCTAAGAAAGAGGAAGAGAGAGTCGCAGAGCTGAAGAAAGTAAGAGGAGAGAAATGGTTACCCTCTGTAGGTAAGTCTCAATATTTGTGTTTCATTCTTCTGCAACTTGTGTTTGTAGTAACACATGAACTTAATAAAACTCACTCTTTTGCAGCTGAACAAAAAACCAACATGGAGATCTGCGAAATCGTAATGATTCATCTATCTATCCACTGAACTTATTATCAATTTTGGAGGTAAAACAATGGAAATCTCATTACTTTGAAGAAAGATTGAATCACTCTCTTGGCTACAAAAAAATTTAGTGAAGCAAGATTACGAAATCGTGTGATTTTTTTTTTTGATGTAAGAGAGAGAGAGAGAGATTATTTGTTGTTGATGTAGTGAGAGTGAAGTTCTTCAGAGATGTTGTCACCATCGTTGTCTTTGAAAAAGGACTTATATTGTTTCGATATATAAAGGAATTTGTTCGTGTAGAGTTTTATAAAATCTTTGTACACTATGTAATTGGTTAGTTATTGTTAATAGTTAATTTTCCCAATTATCTGAGTTCACTGGTTTTCAGAAAGTAAAAAACTGAAAAAAAATTCAAATCAGCTTTTGAAAGTATAGTCACTAAAACAAATTCAAATCAGCCTTTAAAAGTTTCTGCTTTTGCTTTCAATCACAAAGCTAAGTTTGAAAAACTGAACACATTCTTATCAATTTTGCTTTGGATCTTACTTCTCTATTCGAAGATCTTCTCCTGAAAAATAGAACCAAAGTTTATGTTATTAAAAAAGAGAAATAGTAGTAATATACATAAGAATTGAATAAATTTAAAATTAAATTTGAAATATATATATAGATATATTTCGGCTCAGATTTCGGAAATATATAGATAGATATAAGATTAAAATCTGAAATATAAAAAATATTATATAAAAATTTCAGAATAGATTATAATAGATTATGAATTTTTTCATTAATAGTACTTAGGTAATATTTAGTGAGATATGAGAGAGTTCTATTTTGGAAAATTACTTCACAAATTTGATGTTACAGAAGATATTATAATAGATTAGAAATTTTTTCATTAAGATTATTTAGCTAATGTTTAGTGAGATTGAATGAGAAAGCTCTATTCCTCAAAAAATCTTTCATAAATTTAGTGTTATAGAATAGAGAAACTTACCTGGCGAAACATTTCAGACCGAAATTGTCTCTATCAAAATAAGTCTAAGGTTTTGTATATGCAGATATAGATGTAGACATAGAAACCATAGTACTAAGTCTTTACAAATTGTTTGACGAAAACATAGATTATTTTTAAAACACATTAAGAAGAACACTTAAAAAGAAATTCTTATGACAGAAAAATTAAGAGGATTTTTGTTAAAAATATAGCTAATTAAATATAAAAATTTCAGGCATTAAAAAATATTAAAGGACACCATAGACAACAACATATGAAATTTTGGATTAAAAACCTAACAATAGAGATTATCACAAACCATAAAAAATTATATTAGGAAAAATGGAACAATATAATACAAATTTTTTATTCAATAAATATTATCAGAAACAACTAAATATTAAACGTATTTCTAACTGTGCTTCATATAAACAAAAAAGGACAAAATAACATTCTAGAAACAATCAGAAACTATATGAGAGTTTTAGATTCTTTGAGATCCTTCTTATTGTTTTTCTTTAGCCATACAATGAGAGAATCTGTAATGATGTGAAAATTTAAGAAACTTGTAAAAAGATCTACAACATTTTTTTTGTAGTCTCGTTATCATTATAATCTATAAAAAAGTATAGCACTGAAAAGATACAACATCTTTAACAGGTCCATTACAACATTAGCCCAATTAACCCAATAGCATTTACTTGTATGGACACATTTAGGTTAAACGTAAAAAGATCAGGTTTGCAGCACCGCTTCATGCTCGCTAACCGGAAATGACCGCCGGCGAACTCTAACTCTGTATCATTCAAGCTGCTTAAATAAATCAATGCTTCTTCCTTTGCATCTGACCGTCGGTATAGCCCGAGAAAGCTCGCCTTGCCATCAGTTGTTTACACCAGGAAGACGATTGTGGTAACATTCTTGGTTTAGAAAAAGGACTATATCCGTAAAGTACAGGTTCCAATGTAAACCGGACCTTGAATCCCATCAAGACCTCTCATATTAACCTGAAAAACAAAGCCACATAAAGTCAGAAAATGAGAAAATGAGTTCGGATTTACATCGAAGAAATTGGTTTAGCATATCGATCACTCTTGTGGATTCCATCATGATCATATATAGATTCTTGTTTTTACCTGTCGTGGCTGAGTGAGTCTCTTGCCCGGTTTTACCAACCCGGTAAACTTTCTTGTTCATCTCAGTACGGTGGTGGTATCCGTTTTGACCGGCTCTAGCCACCGTGTAGGAGACTCTAGCCGGATGCCAAGCTCCGATACAAGCCACCTTGCGGAGTCCACGATGGGTCTTTCTTGGGAGACGGGTCACTCCCAATCTTGTAACCACACATTCATAACCTTTTCCTTTGGTAACACCGATTATATCAATCATCTCGTCTTTTGAGAAGACAGCGTCTACAGGGACTTGCTTTTCAAAGAAACTGTACGCGTAGTCAACCTTCTTGGCTACATCACCACCGTTGAACTGAATCTCAGTCAGATGAGCCTTATTTGGTTTCATGTTTCTTTGAGTATTTGGTGAAAGCCTTCTTCTTTGACTTTGCCCAGTTCTTGTAGAACCTCCTCCTTACTTCTTCACTCAAATGCTCATGAGCCCACATTGTGCCTAGAGTACGCAGACCACGTGGTGTCTCTTCACGTACCCAACCACACCAACAACTACCATCGGAGGTGTCTCAATCATAGTCACAGCTTCACATGTTTCCTTCTTGTGGAGCTCTGAAAGTTTAATTTACAGAGATCAACATTAAAACACTTAATGTCATTAATGGATGTAATGGAATCAATAAAGAGAAGAGAGCGAGAACACACTTGATCCAGGTTTCTCAACTTCTCTCAGAATGTGAGTCATGCCAGCTTTATATCCCAAGAAGGAGGTGAATCTGCAAGGCTTAGCGGGATCACCCTTAGGGAAGGCCTTCACTGGAAACACAAAACAGGCATGTCAGTTCAGACAATACAGACCGTATGGTCGGAAAATAAACATTTATCATCAAAAATTAAGGATGATTCATCAAACGAATTACTCCTACTACTATCTAACTACACGCAAAACTACCTTTGCCACGATGCCTGTTAGCCCTTTTCCTTGGAAGAAAACCCAATGAGCCATGTCTTGGATGCTCAAACTTTCTGTGAAACATTATTACTGAGAAAATGAACCCTGCAAACTAAGATGGACTTTATACAAAGAGACTACGCAAGAACAAATCATCTATGAGCCACCAGAAAAAAAAAAGTGATAACAAATATTGCTATGATGTAAGAACGATTAGTAGGTTTCATTTTATCAAGCAAAATCATCGGCTGCTACGTAACCATCGATCTTAAAATCAAGGTTAGTAAAAGTATTAACAAATTGCAGATTTATATGTACCAATTGACAAAACCCTATGCAAGATCTTAGAGTTATGTAGGTCTTAAGAGTTACGATAATATACCATTGGGACTTCCAGATCCAAATCCACCGCTTCCAGATCCAAATCCACCGCTTCATCTACCTAAAAAGAAAATAAACAAACAATGAAAAAGATGTACGATAGTATGAATAACACATCACATCAATTTCAGAAACAATACACGTATCAAAGTTTCAAACGTAGTCGACATGCAAAATTATATAGAAAGAAACCCTAAACTTAAATTTTAATTAAAAAAATAATATCAAAAATCTGGAGGTGTGCAAAGTATTTATAGCTACTAAAATTTAGGGTTTCATCTTTCTCTAGGGTTTGTATATATTGTGGGCTAAACTAAAATCATAAAAGCCCATAAATTTAAAGAAAACCAATCAGAAATTTATATAAGCTAACCGAAAACGAATTTACATAAACCAATCGGTTTAAAATTCGAAAATTACCACTAAAGGCAGAAGGCGTTAACCCCTCTGAGAGGAGCTGTGGTGCGTTTCTTACTTCTCGTTTAATCATATAGATTACAACTAACCGTTAAGTAATAATTAGATTAAAAGAAAACAAAGACTTTGACTTAGTATAGATAAAGTAGCCGTTTTACTTTTAAGATTGCTTTAGAAAATTCCAAAGATTTTTATAGTTTGTTTCTTTCCACTTTTTTAGTAACTAAGTCTTTTATAAATAGTATTTCATATGTCCGTAAATATTTCTCAAAACAATCATTATTGCCATTCATCAAATACTATTATCTATTCTTACTCTTTCTAGCTTTTGTTTTTAGTTCATTTTTTTCAAATGTTGCCACAGAAAGAGAAGATGCTCAAATGCCAACCATCGATACTCAAGAAAGTGCAACTGCAGCAACCCAAGAAGAAGCTAGGAGAAACATGGAAAAATCACGTTTGAATGCTTCCAATATTTTTAAGGTACACTTTCGAAAAGAAAATATTAATAGTGTAATGAAAGCATGTTGTAATTATTGCAATAAATACTTTTTCTGGAAAGCGGGTGCTGGATATGGCTCATATAAAGATCATTTGCAAAATATTCATCCCGAAAAATTTGGTGGAGAAAATAACCCAACTCATAATGCTTCTTCATGTAATCTTTCATCTTTTCATTATTCAAAAAAAAAAAACCCGAGAAGAATTAGCAAAATGTGTTGCAGTTGACCATCTTTCATTTAGTTTTGGTGAAAAATTAGGTTTTAATAACTATTGCAAAAAGCTTTAAATCCTCAAGCAAAGAGAGTTCCTAGAACTACTCTTACTCGTACTTTAAAATCACTTTATCAGAAAATAAAAAAAGATTTAGAAAAATTGTTTTCTAATTTTGAAATAAAGTTTCAATATGTTGTGATATTTGGAGTGATCATTGGCAAATTCATCATTATATGGGTATTACATGTCATTGGAATGATACTGATTAGAATATTCAAAAAAAATTACTGCTTTTCGAGTTTTTGATGAAAGAAATACATCTGATAGTATTTTTAAATTAATAAAAATTATTTTAGAAGAATATAATTTAACAACTAAAATATTTTCTATTTCATTTGACAATGCATCTGCTAACACAGCTTCTGTTTATGAATTAATAAATAATTGTAGTCATATTTTAGGTGGAAAATATTTTCATATTTGATGTATTTGTCATGTTTTAAATTTATGTGTTCAAGATGGTTTATTAGTTTCTCAAAATATTATTTCACCAATTAAAAATGCTTTAAATTATTTATGAGGGCATCCACAATTAATGAAACAATGGTTTCAATTTTGTAAAATAAATAATATACGTCCCAAAAGGTTTTTTCGAGATGTTCCTACTCGTTGAAATTCAACTTATAATATGCTTATTGATTCAATTGGTTATAAAAATTTATTATGTAGTTTTATTTAACAAAATTGTAGTACTTTTAACATTGTGGCCCACTCATTGGGATGATTGTAGTGCACTTTAAAAATTATTAAAATGTTTTAATGATGCAACATATCTATTATCGGGTGTTTATTATTCTACTAGTCATTTACTTGTGTATGAATGTGTTAATATTGCTGATGTGATGCATGAACATGAGAATAATATTGTTTTGTCATCGAATATTGAAAATATGAGAGAAAAATGGATAAAATATTATTATGAAATTCCACCTCTTAATTTACTTGCATCTATTTTTGATCCTTGGACAAAATTGGATGGTTTATCTGATTATCTCACCACATATTATAATTTATTACATTTGTCTGAGAGCACTAATGTTTCAAGTATTATTTCAAAATTCAAAAAAGAAATAGAGACTTTATATGATGAATATTATAAATTATATAAACACATGATACCACAAGTAGATGCATCACCTTTACAAATAATATGTCATCAACGTCATTGAGTCTTGCGGAGAGAATGAGGCGACAAAAAAGACAACGACCATCACAATATTAATTATAATCATTAAATAATTCTAGTTGTATTTAACTATAACCGTACTAATCGGATCTATATTTAACCGTAACCGTTTTAACCATATATGAAATGGTTAAAGTTATGGTTAAAAATAATTATAATCGTAACTAGCAGTTAAATAGTCTAAACCGTATTAATCGTAACCGTTGTCTTGCCTAATTCTGAGAGCTTCGGGTTTTGGGGCGGCCACCTTGGAAAATGTTCCAGGTAGAGAACGAGGACTAGGTCGAACTCAACTTTCCCCTCAGCCTTCTTAATCTTCTAAACCCCACTAAAGTATAATCTTATCTATCATTTTGGGATTAGGGTGCATGGCAGTACAATTTCTCCACGCGTAAGCATATTGGATTATTTTATTATTGCTATTTTTTTTTTTTAAGAAAAGGATTTTCATAATTAACTACAATAGAAAAGAAAAAAAGTATTTAAAGTTATATTAAAATATAATATATATTTTAAGTTATATTAAAATATAATATATACTAGGTGGTTGGCCCGCACATATGTGCGGATATAATTTTTTGATATACATAGTTAATTGTAATATTTAAATATTGATTAGTTTTTTAAATATTAGTACATATGTATTGTTTTAATATTTCACAAACTTCTTTCTGAAACCAATGTATTTTAAAACTTTTTATATTTATAATGTTTGTAATAATATATAATCACAAATATAAAAGTTATGTTAAATAATAATTAAATTCTTATAATAAATTTTGAATATTTTTATAATATGCTTTATTTCTTCGTACACAATCTACGATATGCTTTTTTGCGTCTTACATATTATGAATTTGCAAATACATATATAATATATTTAAGTATATATTTTTCTTGATTTTGCAAATTAAACTGAAATAGTTTTTACCATTTTTACTTATTCCTTAGAGCGGATAGATGATTGGCACGCATGTGCGAGCATACCAACCACTTCACTACACTTAGAATAGATAAAGATTTTTAAAAATATAAATTGTATAATAATTAAAATAAAATTAGACTGTAATCAATCTTAACAAAATACATGCACAGAAAAGTTCGAATGTGACTTCAACTAATGTAGAATTAATATTTATATATGTACGCATATTTGTAAAAAATTAAAATATGGCTCTTACGTGTTAAAAAGTTTTTAAGTGACTTTGTAAAACAAAGTGCGAGATATTTACTTTTATATACTTTTATTTTTATTTCTAATTCATATTGTTTCATCTTATTATAATTTATTTTTTCGTTCGGTTATTTTTTATTTCATTTATTATCTCAAAATTTCTATATACAATGAAATTAAATTTATATATATAGATGCATATGCTATTATTTTTATTTAAAATATGATAAGAGATAAGATGAGATGATAACATAAGTTATGTACAATTTAGAAAACAACAATAAAAAAATGATAAAAATTATAGAAAAATATATGGTCCTATTAATATTATAAAATAATAATTAGTATATACTTTATTCAATTAGTAAATATTGGTTTGAAAATAAAATTATTTAAAATTACGTTTTTTAAAACCATTTCAATAAAAGTTAATTATTTTATTATTTTAACATTTATTCTTTAAATTATTTTTATCATGATTGTATTTTATTTAAAATTGTATTATTTAATAATTTTTTATTTAAAACTTGTTTAGATGTTATTAATATATTTTGTAAATTAATAACTTTCTGATATAAAAATATATCATACTTCAAGTATTATTAATAAATAGAATTTTTACTACTCTATTGGATCATTTAGAATTATTTTTGTTTTTTTATATGAAATTATAATATATATATATATTGTTGAAAAAAATTCATAATTATATTTTATGAAATTATGGATATATGTAAAAAATTAAAATTATAATAATTTTTATTTTCTGTTAATTTAAATTTGTTAATTTTAGTGTTATAAATATAATCTAGTTTATTTATATTTTAATTCCACAATTATAATTTAATTTAACCAATCAAAATATTTCATTTATTTTAGTAAGTTTGACATGTCACATTTACATGTCATCAATTAAAAGCACTAACTTTGGTTATAGTGTTGACAAGTAAGCTATTTTCAATAATATTACTTCTCAAATAATATGTAGTGGATTTTAAGTTATATTAAAATATAATATTTTATCATTAAAATACTTTTGTTTACATACCTAAGGGATGGAGATGCTCTAAAAACACAGACACAAAAGTCTACATCTATCTACTACTTATAAAAATTATGCTATAGACCTCTAAATGTGTCCACATAAGAT